AAGGCTAGTCTCCTCTGCACGATGCGGGCAACCTCGTCCTCTTCGCTGCTTGGCCCCAGGGGTTCCGTCACTTCCATGGACCGATCCATCTCGTCCAGCTCCAGCAGATCTGCTATCAGCTCTCTCTGTGGCCTGTTACTGGCACTTCTTCCCCGACTCTCCAGTAGATCCTTTGGGGTAGGTCTCTTCAATTTGGCGTAGTGAGACTCCATCCAGCACCTGCGCTGTGGATGAAAGGACCATCCCACCGCTGCCACCAATGTAAAGGCTACCCAGCTAGAGTGAGGGTATCAGCCGTTGGGGACATCCTTTTCTTCCCAGCAAGTCGCTGTGTAGTGATGGAGCTGCTTATTCCCATCTGCTGGATCCGAAGTAGAAGTCAGGTACAGCTCTGAAAAGAGCTTAGTGATTATGCTGCAAAATTCCCCTTTCAAGAACGAGACAAGGCTACGTTTTGAAGACACTCTCTTTTATGTGATTTTGCCCATGCAAGGGAGACACCCACATAATTAACAGTACAGCCAATAAACACAATATACATTCTGTACATCCCCTCCCCTTAGATAACCACATAACATAATTAAAAGAAACATATTTTTCCCCAAAGTTTGGATGTGTCCCCAGATAGCTTGTTTCTGGGGGACTAACATATTTGAAAATCAGCTCATTCGGTTCAGCCGTTTGGGAGATATGGGACTTGAAAGTTTTGACCGACCGCACAGGCAAAGTAGCCGAAAACAGTTCCATGAATTCTGGCCCTGCAGTCAGTCTTAGTTCGTGTGTAAAAAAGTCCCGAACGGCTGGCCATCCGTATGCCATCTTGGGTTCGCTGGAATCCCCATAAGTTGTCGAGTCTTTCTTCCGAATGCCTTGTCGTTCGGTAGTTGTGGCATGATTTCCCGAAGGTATGGAGGTCTCAGCGGTGTTCGCCTATCCGAGTGTCCGATTTTAGTTCCAGACACTCGACGGCAAAACACCGCTGTTCGGGAGTTAAAATGGCCGCGAACACGTGGAAGTCCCGAAATGACGGCCATGCATACGGTTCCTATAGCGTTCGTGCGTTTATTTCCACGAAAATGCCCATCAAGCAGGGAGGTAAATGAGTCTCAATTTAGAGTCAGCATGGCCTGTTAGTTGTTAGCAAGCATTCGCATGGGGAATGCTTGTCGATTAATGTGCAGTTCGAGACTTTACAAGTCTTTAATGAAACTGTCCTCTTTGTTACAGAGACAGAGGTAGTGAAGACTCTTGTCCAAACTTAGGTTGTAACTTGTGGTGCATTTTATACAAAGTGCTTAGCGTGAGTTCATATTTTTAATAGAAGTCTGATGTTGTCTGTAGAGAGCAATATCTAATATTGGGCAGTTTCCATAAAACTGAGCTGAATGCTGATCCCTGCTCTAGAAAAGATTCCTGGATCTATGTGGCTTAAGTAATTCTGATGCCTGCTTTGGGAACTGTAGAATTCTACGGGAGAGCTTCTTATTCCATGGACATTTACTTGAAATCCATTGAGTATTATATTCATCCTTTCGGATGTAACAAATTCAACGCACGGTATATGTACCAACTTGCCCGTCTCAACAGAAAAATAAAACAATAGGTTACTTGTTCACATAGAGCAGGTTAATTATCTCAAATTAAATAAACCAGGCTTCCTGTTACAGTCAAGATCTGCTCCAATCTATTTACCATTTGATTTAGAATTTCTAGTATCTGATGAAATTTAATAACTGAACCGCAGTGACCTGTCCTACAATTTCATGTTTCACTACACACAACCTAAATGTCACTTGTAGGACAAGTTGTTTTGTATAAATTCAACATCTGCCATTTAAGTAACCTATAATCAGGGTGGACCATACTATATTAATCTCGTCTGGATGCAACTTCCTGTAGCAGGATAGCAAGAGGCAGACAGCGAATTCCTCAAATTAATAAAATTACCTTTTAATTTCCATCCCTTGTGTCTAGTAGTAAACAAAGGTCAGTTCACTGTGCTGAAAATAATGCAGTAAAGTGTGTTGGGCCACTTATAGTAGGGAGGGACCATTGGATTGTTAAAGAGTGTCTTTAGAGGCAAAACACCCCAATATGGTCCAAATGTGGGAATTATATTAACCCGCTGAGTCTGCCTGTGAAACCTAAGAAGTTTAACATCAACTCATAGACAGGTTAATAATTCATTAAAATTGACTTGTTATCTGCTTTGAGCTAAAAGAGGAATTGTCAATTGTGAGGTTTTTGCAAAATTAAATAGTTAACTAAAAGATAGTTATAAATAGCTCATGGAATTAATTTTGTAAAATGAAACAAAAACCTTATTACTTTATTTATTTCTGTCCTTTACTGTCAGGAAAAGTTACCCTAACACACAAACCTAAAGGAAATAGTAAAGGTACATGTTTCAGTTCTTAGAATGGACAAGTTAGTGTCTGAGACAGATACATTAAATGTCTGCAGAC